GAGTCCAAGGGCATTGCCTTCGTCAAGTTCGCCCGCAGCTCACAGGCCTGCAGGGCCATGGAGGAGATGCATGGCCAGTGCCTTGGCCCCAACGACACCAAGCCCATCAAGGTGCGGGTGCCGGGGTCCGGGTGCCCTCGGGGGAGGGAGTGGGCCTTTCGGACCTCCCTTCACCTGCTGCTCTGCGGGGGTGAGGGAGGGGTGGAACGTCCGTTCCCGGCAGCTGACTAGGCAGCACCTGGCGTGGGGAGGGGGCGGCTTTGCGGAGAGGCTCCCCTCCCACGAGACTGCGCCGGGTTGCAGGGAAGGGAGGGGACGGGATGCGGAGAGAACGTTTGCCCCCGAGAACGGACCCGGCAGCCGCGGCCACCGGGTGGCAGAGCAGCAGTGGCTGGGCCTCCCCGCTCCCTTGCCCTTCCTCATCCACCAGCTTTTGAGTTAACTTCCAAAATCGTCCTAGCCTACTTTAAGGACTTTTCTCACCTTCCTCTCTCAGATGCCCAGAATTTCCATATATGAAAAACAGAAAAACTCTACTTTTCCTCAAGTAGAGAAAAGGCATAAAAACTTGACGAAAGTACTTTAAACTAGGGTCCCCTGGTGTTGGACGTTTTCCCAGTACCAGACAAAAGAATGCATGTATATAGTACTTAAGTGCAGGAGTTTAAAACGGCCACTTTACATATTCATCACATTTTGTGATTTTGAAAATTATTTTAAATGAGCTCTGTTTCTGAAAGTGTTAATAGCATGTATTTGGCTCTTGACTTTTTCTGTTACTGCAACTTTTCTTTGAAAGCAGACCAAAGTAAACTGCCTCAAGAAGTGCCAAATCATTGAGATAATGACACATGGCAGGAAGGGTCATTTTGAGGGTTGAGTTAATCTATGCTTTTAGCACACTGCCTCGCACATGGTAAGCCCTTGTTATTGATTGGTAATAGCCAGGATGTCACTGCTTACTCTCTGTGACCTCAAATCAGGACTCAATCCTGAGAATCTGCCAGTTGCTTAAATCGTACTCTTCATCTGCCCCATGTAAATAGTTGCTGTGTATGTTATTCTGCTGGTACTTTGCACAAAAATATTTTCTCAATTAAAAAAAATGTTTTCCAAATTGAGAATGATATGAATATGGACTTATATATAAATAAAGGACTCAGAGATATTTGAGTCTCTGGAGGTCTTGTTCCCTCCACAAAAGAGGAGCCTGGGAATACACCAACAACACAGTAAACAATCCCTCCCACTTCTCCACACTTCTTCGAAGTGTGTCAGAGTAGTACCGCAACAAAATTAATTATAGGGCTGTAGCATACAGGATCAGGAGTTGGCAAACTTTTTCTGTAAAGGGCTGGCTAGTAAACATTTTAGGCTTTGTGGGCCACGTACAGTCACTTGTCACATATCCTCCTCTGTTTTTATAGTCCTTAAAAACTGTAAAAACCGTTCTTTAGTTCTTTCATCGTGGGCTATACCAAAAATGGAGCTGTAGTTTGCTGACCCCTGTACTAGACTGATGAGTTTCACTGCTGTCCAATTATGACTTTAGTGGAGAGGGTTTTCATATTTTTAGTATAACATGGCCACAGACCCCATGTGGGCAACTCAAAAAAAGTGCTATATTTGAAATAGATGGAACACCTTCCCCGATGAATATCTACAAGAGAAATTAAAGGCCCAACACTGAAATGTACCCTTTATTTCACCACAGAGAAATTAAAGTTCTTGCTCCCAAAAAGAATTAAACTTTACAATTTTGTTTTTCACGTTTTTGACTATTCAGTTTTAGCCAGAAGGTTGTTTCACTAGAGTGCAGTGGCTTGATCACAGTTCACTACAGCCTCCACCTTCCAGGCTCAGGCTCTTACCTCAGCCACCCTCCTGAGTAGCTGGGACTGCAGATGTGTACCACTATGCCCAGCTAATTTTTTTTTGTTTTGTTTTAGATGGAGTTTCGCTCTTGTTGCGCATGCTGGAGTGCAGTGGCATGATCTCAGCTCATTGCAGCTTCCGCCTCCCAGGTTCAAGCAATTCTCCAGCCTCAGGAGTACCTGGGATTACAGGTGCCCACCACCATGCCTGGCTAATTTTTGTATTTTTCATAGAGACAGGGTTTCACCATGTTGGTCATCAGGCTGTTCTCGAACTCCTGACCTGAGGTGATCTACCCGCCTTGGCCTCTCAAAGTGCTGGGATTACAGGTGTGAGCCACCAGTGCCCAGGCAATTTTTAAATTTTTTGTAGAGACAGGGTCTCACTATGTTGCCTAGGCAGGTCTCAAGCTCCTGAACTCAAGTGATCCTTCCATTTCAGGCCTCCCGTTTCAGTTGTAACCCACCACACCCTGACAGCCTAGTTTCATTCAGTAGCTGCAGCTTGAGTCATCTTCCACTGGAACACTGTTGTGTTGTTTTCAGCATTTCCAGTTAAATTAATTCAGCTGCAATATTTCTCATGTACTTTCCTTTGCAAAATTTCAAAGGATCTGTAAGACAAGAATATTATCGTACCAGGCCTTGTTGGGTGGAAACCCCATAAGAGCCAAGGCAAGGGTCTGAGACCTCAGTCTGTTCTCATATAAATATTGAATTAGAAAAGAATTAGAGATAGTTACATAGTTATTCCTATAATAATCACATAGCTATTCACATGTAATCATAAATATATACATATATACAATCATATAATCTTTAATTTTATTCGTAAGTCTCAGGTCATAAAGTATGGAACTGAAGTGGCATTGGGAAAGAGGTGACCCTAAGGCAAGATCCTCTAAGCCTTTCTTCACGCCCGCATAAGGGCTGCTGGAGGGCGCCTTGGCTACGCAGCAGCGCCAGCACTGTGAAAGTGCCCACTGTTTAGCCAGCTAGGGAAGGAGATGTCCAAAATGGCCGAGACATCTCCTTCCTTGGGGGAGTTAGGAGGAAACTCAGCCCTTCCAAGCCCTTGTGGTAGCCCTGGCAGCTGTCAGGGAGGCCTGCAGTCATCCGAGAGCTTAATTGTCTCTATGTGATGCTGTGCTTCAGTGGTCACGTTCCATGTCTACTTTCATGTTCCGCTTCTGTACCTGGTTCCTCTCTTTAAGATAAGAATTAGTAATAGTAACATAATTTTTTTTTTTTTTTTTTTTTTTTGAGACGGGGTTTCGCTCTCATTACCCAGGCTGGAGTGCAATGGCGCAATCTCGGCTCAACGCAACCTCCGCCTCCTGGGTTCAGGCAATTCTCCTGCCTCAGCCTCCTAAGTAGCTGGGATTACAGGCACGTGCCACCATGCCCAGCTAATTTTTTGTAGTTTTAGTAGAGACGGGGTTTCACCATGTTGACCAGGATGGTCTCGATCTCTTGACCTCGTGATCCACCCGCCTCGGCCTCCCAAAGTGCTGGGATTACAGGCTTGAGCCACCGCGCCCGGCCTAACATAAATTTTAACATCCCTGATATTCTTGACAAATATGAAAAAAGTGCTGACACATTAGGTTTTCTCCTCGCCTCGGCTTCTTGAAAATCCTGAGCTCCTGTTTCCAAGACATGTGATTTACCTGACCCTATCACTGACCACCATTACCTCACCCTATCTACCCTGCCCCCTGCTTTATACTCAATAAAAGTCAGAGTGTCCAGGCACTCAGGGCCACTGCCGGACTCTGCACTTTGGTTGGCAGTGCATGGCTGGGCCCAAACTCTCTTTTCTCTATCTCTGTGTCTTGTGTCTTTATTTTCACAGTTTCTCATCTCCACACCTGTAGAGAGGGACTCACAGGACCCTATAGGGCTGGACCCTGTAAGGCCTCAGCCAGAAAATATTGTCCAAGTAAAAGTTATTCTGTGACTAGCTATGTTATCTGATGGAAAGGGGAAACCTAGAAAATAGAAGAAAAAATTCTTGGCTTTAGTTTTTCAAGAATGCTTCTTATCTAGAGCCTGTGAACACCCATAGTCTATGAAAGTAAAAATTAATGGGAGAAATCTACCATGAGGAGGTTAATTATTTTACATATGTTCTACATATAGACTGTCTCCTTTATCAGAGATTTGAAACACCTCAGTCCTCTGAAATTTAAAAATTTGTGCTCTGATGGCACTTCCAGTCTCATCTTACCTGAGGTTCTTTTTTTTCTCTAGTGTCTTTGCATATACTTAAAGTTTCCCTATTTGTATTTCACTATTTACCATTTATTACTGGTATCAGCCGCAAGACTTTCTAATGGACCATTTCTCTGTTACTGAATACTGTACTCATATAGTGCTTGACATAGTATAGATTTATTGAAGGAATAACTAGAAGTAGACTATATAGGGATATGTCTCTAACCCTGTGGTTTTCTTAGTTGCTGCCACCTACTCTGGAATTTCATAGGTTCCAGTTTTCTCATGCTTGAATGATACAGAGCCCCCTTTAACAGCAGTAGATCGGAGACCAAGATATAGAGCCCCCTTTAAAGGAAAAAGAAACAAACAACGAAAGGGCCCTTGTTTATCGTGTTTTAATTAATTGTATTTCATTTCTTCAAATTGCTCTGGCTAAAAATAAATGCAAAAGTAGAAATATGTTTGGGAAAAACACAATACAGAGATTGGTATTATCTCATATAAAAAGTCATTGCGGGCCCAGCACAGTGGCTTACACCTATAATCCCAGCACTTTGGAAGGTCAAAGTGGGAGGATCGCCTGAGCCTAGCAGTTCATGACCATCCTGGGCAACATAGCGAGACCTCGTCTCTACAAATAATAAAAAATTAGCTGGGTGTGGTGCTGTGTGCCTGTGGTCCTAGCTACTTGGGAGTCTGAGGTGGGAGGATTACTTGAGCCTAGAACATTGAGACTGCAGTGAGCCATGATCACACCACTACACTCCAGCCTACGTGGCAGAGCAAGACCCCGCCTTAAAACAAACAAAAAAACACAAAACTCATTGCAATAAAAATTGCTTTTGAAAAAATTTAAGAAGTGGGAAAATAGTTAACATTATTTTTGGGGTTTTGTTTGTTTCTTAGGTTTTCATTGCTCAGTCCCGATCATCTGGAAGTCACCGAGATGTTGAAGATGAAGAACTTACAAGAATCTTTGTTATGATACCAAAGTCCTACACAGAAGAAGATCTGCGGGAAAAATTTAAGGTACTTATGTTTTCTAACCAGTTAGCATATGTGATAACTCACAGTCCTCCATAGGTTGTATGGGTACTAAATCTGAAGTATTGTTTGAATAAGGTCAGTAGAGTAGTCATGGGGAATTACATAACTGTTTTCATAATTTTCAATCTCTTTAAATATTAAACCTAGCATAAATTCGTTTTTAAAATTAAAGATTATGTAAAATCTGAAAGTAGTAATTATAGTCTCCCCCTGCTTTATTGTGACAGTAGAGATTCACAGAAATGAAGTACAAAGCTCAGAGACTTTTAAGTAAAGTCACAGGTAGTAGGTGGTAGAGCTGTGATTTAAACCCAGACTCTTGGAGCCTGGAGCCTGTTCTTGGTCTTTAAAATTTCAAAGCACTCTCTTATCACTCCCCTCTATTGCCTGGCATGTAGAGGCGAATCAGGCAGGCCTGAGTGTGTGAACTGTATTGTCTAGTGTTTGTAACAGGCCTATGGTGTGTTGATATGGTACTACTCATTCACAGAAAGTCTTATTCTTTGAAGAATTTTCATCCTAAAATTGGGCCTTTGAAGAAGTTACATATAATGAAGAAAACTAAGTACAGCTCTGACCTACGTAAATGAAATTCAAAGATCATTTTAAGTCTTTTTAGCCATTAACTTATGCGATGATAAGCTTTCACAAAAATTATTAAAAAGGAATTTTTAAATTGTTTTGAGTTGTAGCTTTTTATCTTTTTTCTACTAATCTTTCCATGAATTGGGTGGCAACAAGCAAGAAAGAAAATAAGTAGTAAAAAGTAATTTTCAAACTTCCTCTCCTACCCCAGTTGAGAATTCAAAAAAATGCTTCAAAAATAACAAATATCAAAAATGTATATTTCATACTTTCTCCAGAAGTAAGAAAAATGTTTTGTACCTTAAATATTTATAAATTTTTATCTTTTCCTGAATGAACAAATATGACACTTTAATGTATAGTAATTAAGTTTCTAATTAAGAATTTATAAAATAAATAATATCAATGGTTTATATTCTATATTTCTTTGAACATTAAAAGTAAACACTACTGCATGTTTCTCAGAATAGTAACTTTCTGAGTGAACCAGTGTATTTTAAAGATATCCTTTGAAAAGCAGTCCTTCTAAAGAATACACAATCATTTATGCTCCTGTTAGAAGACAGACAAGTAATTATAGCTAATGTTCTTTGAGTGTTTAGTATGTTCTAAGCCCCATGTAAGCACTTCACATGTTTTACTTCAGTATCTACCTGTGAGGTAGATACTACTGTTAGTTTCTTTTAATAGATAAAGAGGTAGGCACAGACAGTATCTAGAAAGTTTAATTCCAGAGCTCTGGCTCTTAACCACTTTTGAGCAAGACCTTGGAGCTATCCAGACCATGTACAGATTCTTACTTTTTTTTCTGTAGCTTTGTCCCTCTTTGATTTCTTTAAACCCCAGCTTCCTCATCTCTGAAATAAGCAGTATAAAATATCTGCATATTTTATACTGCGTACTTCTTTGTTTGCATGCAAGGGTCGCATATAAACAAATTTTTGGTTCAGAAATACTCTGTTCAATTAATTTTAAGCCCCCTAAGATAATGTCTCTTAACTCTCTTAGGTGTATGGAGATATCGAGTATTGCAGCATTATTAAGAATAAAGTCACTGGAGAAAGTAAAGGTTTGGGCTACGTACGATACTTAAAACCATCACAAGCTGCCCAAGCAATAGAAAACTGTGATCGAAGTAAGGATGTGTTTGTTTAACATTGTTAAAAACTTTTGTAAAAAATTCTGATTATTCTAAATAACTGAATTTAAGATTGGTTTTTGCTAATAACCATATCTGGCAATGTAATTTTGGTAGTAGGTATTTAAATACATGTAGTCCAAGGATGAAAAATACCTTGGGGCTATGATTAAACATTCATTGAGGCACTATCTTGAAGAAATAAGAGCAACCACTATAAGTTAGTGAAATGCATACTTTGGTTATTATTTGCAGAGGTTTTGGGTTTTTTTTTTTTTTCATGTATTTTAGAATTTTAAGTATTAAAAATTGACTTACCTTTTCAAGGTTTTTAAAATATTCTTTATATTTGTTTATATTTGATCTACACCCCAAAAAGTATATAGTATAACTAATAAACATATAGGTTAAAAATAAGATTTATAAGATGTGCTAACATAAATAATTAATATAGCTAGGGTTAATTTCAAGCTAGTGTGACATGAATTTGATCTTCTGATGTTGCTGTATATATAAAGCATAAGAATTTTTAAGATGTCATGGAGAACATTCTTTGTTGGTATACTTCTAGTTAGATATATTGACCTTTAGAAATTAGTTGTAGAATAATTAAATTACAGGATGTTAGGACATTATAAAAATCTATGTGTACTGGAAAGAATTACTGTTAATCAGTAGAATTCTTAGATACCCCTAAGGTACATACCAAAATTTTCTCTTAGATCCTTCTAAATTTCTCATTTAGCTAGCACTAATTAAGTAGCTGTGGTATACTCATCGATATGCTAAGTAGAGGGATACAGATGAATTATATGGCAGCCCTAGCATTTAAGGAATTTCTAGCTATATTGAGTAGCCAAGATCTAATAGGCACACCCAAAAAAATAAAGAATAATGGAAGAACTTTTTTTTGAAGGCTCTTTGAAAGCAAGAAGCATGTCTTTTTTGTCTGTCACTCCAAGTATCTAGTACAATATTAGGCTCTCAGTAAAGATTTATTAAGCTCTCTATAAAAGTAACTGCCATTTATAGTAGGTTTAATAAGAATTTGCCAAATGAAAAAAATGTTTGTAAGTGTATGGTAGAGTCTATCAATGGTGAAAAACAAATGTGCTGGATGAGCATGGGAACACATGTGGAGGGGGTAGGACTTATGTCTGGTGTTGAGTAGGCAGGACAGAAGATGACAGCAGTGCTAGCAGAGGCACAAAGCCAGGAGTAAACATGTCTTGCTTAGTGCTGTGAAGGCAGCTGTCTGAGTAAAGCACAGTATTTCTGTTGAGACATTTTGAGACACAGTTAACTAGGTACATTGGAACAATATATGGGAGGTTAGGAAAAGTTCAAGGTTAGTCCACTTTAGGATTCTTTTGTAGATTGTTTAGAAAGATTAAAGTAATAACAGTTGATCTAACCACACAAATTTCCAGAGAAGAATTCAAACTGGCTGGCTTTATCCTTTTTTAAGCCACTGAATAATGTAAAGAAAACTGAACCCTCCATGTACACATAAATGCATAATAAGCATTTTGTTTAAAGTTTCAGAGGGTTCCTGGAACCTTCCCACCTTTTGAAGCTCATCCTTGGACCCCTAGTTAAGAACTCTTGATCCAGAAGGAAAAAAAAAAACAGTTAAAGGACTGTTGTAATTAATTGAAGAGAATCTAAATTAAAAACAGAGGCAGGGAAGTTTGAGTGGAAGATAGCATATTCCAAGTGTGTGCATTTTAAAGGAAGAATCTTGGTGACAGATTAAATATGAAGAAGCCCTGCAGGATTTTGATGTCAAGGAACTTAGGTGAATGGATGATGATGTTATCTATAATACGGGAAGATTGGAAGGGATAGCATAGAATTGTTGATCTTTCATGTCTACATTGATTCATAATTTGGGATAGTTGCTATTTCTCATTTACTCTTTGCCATCTTCCAGAAAGCAAAGAAGTAGGTCTGGTGGAGATGACCATTGTATAAGTTTTACTATGTACAGTTATATTTATAAAGCTGAGTCAGGCACTAGCAATCAAGTATATTTGCACGTATGTTAAATTTGCTATGAAACTTGAAATTCATGGATTTTTTTTTTTCAGGTTTTAGAGCAATCTTGGCTGAGCCTAAAAATAAAGCATCTGAATCCTCTGAACAAGATTATTATAGTAATATGAGGCAAGAGGCTTTGGGACATGAACCTAGAGTAAATATGTTTCCATTTGGTAAGTAGGCTACCTTTACTTTAATAGTATAATGTAGTATATGCAATCTAATTTGGGTTTTAAAAAATATTCTGTTATTAGTCATCTATAAATTTCACCTAGTGAATAAATATCTTAAATGTAGCTTTTTATTTCTAAAAAGTGGCTTATAACTCCTAAGTTCTCAATATTTAACACTTATTTTGTTTAACTGATTTCTAATTATAGTTTTCTCTGTTTAGTTATCTTCATATTATAAACTGTTGCCACTGCCACATATCACTGTCACTTTTTTGGGCGAGCTTCTGCCTCTATGCAGCTGACCAAAAACTTAAAAAGACATATATAGATATCCTCTCAGTATGAGTCCTAAAATTTTGTCCCAGAACTACTGCTGCTTTAAAATTAGGGCTGCAGAAAGGAAAGGAATAGCAAAAGTAGAAGCTATAATAGAAAAAGGGAAAATGGGTGATGAAAGTGAGGCCTATGAATATTATTTGACATAAACTTTCAGGTAAAATTCTTGCTGTATTTTTCAGTTTTACATACTAAACTTATTTCTGTGAAATTATGCATTTCTGCTTATATTTCTTCATTAAAGGTAGGGCAAGGGGGAAGAGTTGTCTGTTTTCTTATCTTTAGTCCCATCGGTAGTGCTGATGACCAGAAGCATACTACAAAATACAGTGCCTTTATTCAGTACAATGGACTCTTTCTTTTCTAGTATTTAAAATTTTAAGTGAATTGTTGGCTGTGTAGAAATCTAAAGATTTACTTTTTTTTATATTGTTGGAGAACAACAATCTGAATTTTCAAGTTTTGACAAGAATGACAGCCGAGGCCAGGAAGCAATCTCCAAACGCTTGTCAGTTGTATCAAGAGTTCCTTTCACTGAAGAACAGCTTTTCAGCATTTTTGATATAGTACCAGGATTGGAATATTGTGAAGTTCAACGAGATCCTTATTCAAATTATGGTAAGATAATGTTCATATTAAAATACATATATACACAGAGTTTTGTTAAAATGGCTTTTCTCTAGTAGGACTTTTATGTCAGATACTGCTCGTGTGACAGGAATTTTATCTTTCCTTTTTCCCTACTTTAGACTTCAAATTATGGTGATACCTTAATAAACAAAGCCCTGGAACATATCTCCTCTTTACAAAATAGTTCACTGTAAAATATATTTTAACTCCCACAAAATATAACATTCTGTATTTCCAGTTGCACAACAAAAAAATACCTCAGGATAGAGCCTCTGTCTCGATGTACTCTTTTGGTTAATGCGAGGCAAAGTTATGAAACTCACAGTGTTTCCTCCTCATTCATCCCTAGATATCTTTCTCTTAAATTTGTACCCCTCATTCTCTTCATTCCAAGTATCTGAATGCCCTACTTCTCTCTCTGCTTCTTCCAGTTTCAGTGGAAGCAAGACTCTAATATCAGCCATTTGAATTTATTAGTTAATTGATTAAACCCATTATCTAGCATTAGCCAACCCATCTTTGTGTTTTAAGCTTTTGATTTTATTAAGGCTCTTTGTTAATGGAGGCACTGTGGCATAATGGGAAAGTTTGATGTTCCATTTTGCATCAGAATCAGGTACAAATCCCCGCAGTGGCATGTAGCTTTGAGACCTTGGCAATTTGCTTATCCTCTCTGAGCCTCTCTTTCCTCATATGTAAAATGGGATCATTGATACCTTCTTTGCCAGGGTTAGGTAAGAATTAGAGGTAATATATGTAAAATAACCTAATGCAAATTCTGGCACGTAATAGGGCACTCAGTAAATCTAAAGGTTTTTTTTTTTCTTTGTTAGTGAAGGGTGGTAGAGAGAAATCATACTTGGTTTGCATCTCTTCCAGTTTTGTAAGGATACTTAATTTAGTCCTTTTAGAGTGATGTGGCTGTTGATGTAGAAGTAGGGAAGTGAGTTTGGTATTGTGGACCAACAGGACTAAGGTAATTCCACCCTTCATACAGACACACCTGGCATATTTGTTATATGCATATAAAGTTGTGTTGTTTTGTTTTACCTCCCTTTTATCTTGTATGTCAAAATGTATTTGTTCCTATACCTACTGTTTTGTTTCTCTGGTTGGATGTGTCTGAAATATATGTGCAATTGGAACATCTTTTTATTAATAGACGTGTCACCATATAGTTTGAATCTCATTTGAATTAACTTTATATGGTCATTTGATTTCTGTGTTTTATTTCATTAAATATTTTATTAAAATATTGGATGCTTGGGTTTCCAGATGAACATAAATTATAAGTGTTTCCCCAGTGGTTTGTATTATAAATGTGAAAACCTTTTGGTTGTGTCACAAGCTCCTGGGCTCTCTGAGGAATGCATTATACCATTGTCCCTCCCTTTAACATCACCCTCCTAAACTGAAATTTGTCCCTTCGATGGAAATCTCTGCAAAGGAATGTAAAATATGTGACTTGTGATTTGAGATCATCTTTTCTCTATCTTTTCGTTTTTCATTCAAATCATTTTTACTCTCCCTACTGCTGCAGATAGCCAGGATGAGTATATATTCTTTTCAACTATCACTTCTCATTTTGTTTCCTACACAGTATGGTTGGAAAATCTTGATATTTCAAAGTAGATTTCAAAGAATAAAAATTTAGACTCATAAGTATATTGGTATGATATAAGAAAGCCAGTACCCTAAAATTAAATTTATGAGACAGAATGTATGTTAATATTCCATTTTCCTTAAAATATCATGTTCATTTTTTCCCCTAAATCATTTCTTCCTTTTCTAGGAATACACCTATTGCACACATGTATATCAGAATTGTGTTTTCTGATACATTTGATTGTGTATTTACTAGTTGTGTGATGTTAAAGTTCTAAATGGTTTCATTTTTGAGATACATTGTAACACAGGCCTTAGGCACTCAATCTGCTTTCCTGTTTCATTTCTATATATTTTCTATTTTAGGTCATGGAGTGGTTCAGTATTTTAATGTAGCATCAGCTATTTATGCAAAATACAAATTACATGGATTTCAGTACCCTCCTGGGAATCGAATAGGTGTTTCCTTCATTGATGATGGAAGTAATGCAACAGAGTAAGTACCATTCCAGGAGTGTCTAAAGCCGAGCTTTGAGTGTACATGATTGATAGGACTTGAAGAATAAAAATAGAAAACAGTTGACGTCTTAGGTGAGAAAGTCACACAAAACAAGTTATTGTTAAAAGACCGAATATTTCTAGTTTCTGTAAATTATCAGTTATTGTCTCCAGTCTCCTTAGAAAAATGGCAACACAGATGGTAGCTGCACAGCTTGCATCAGTGGTGTGGAATAACCCAAGTCAGCAACAATTTATGGTAAGTAGGTAAGAATTTAATCTTTGTAATATATCAATAGTATATAAAATAAATATGAAGAAAAATTGTACTTTTTTGATTACCTATATAAGAAAATTTTCAGAGCTACAATGGAAGACCACATAGATGCCATGATACATATCTGTCTTTAGCTCTTGGCCAAAAATCCCTAAAGGGCATTTTTTTCTTTTTCTTGTTTTCTACCTGTTAACAGCAATTTGGAGGAAGCTCTGGATCACAGTTGCCTCAAATCCAGACAGATGTTGTACTTCCATCATGCAAAAAAAAGGCCCCTCCTGAAACTCCTGTGAAAGAAAGACTTTTTATTGTGTTTAATCCTCATCCTTTACCTTTAGACGTATTAGAAGATATATTCTGGTAAGAAAATTACACTTTTTATTTTAACTTATTTATGCTAGTAATTTAAGCATTCTCCTAATCTAGACCCTTCTTTCATCCAGTACTTATCAGGTAGAGAGAATTTGTTCTGTATTTTTAAAAACTACTTTTTAAAATAATATATATATGTATATATTTTATTGTGTTTTAGGTTTTGGGGTACATGTGAAGAACATGCAAGATTGTTACCTACATGGCAATGTGGTTTGCTGCCTTCCTCTCCATCACCTATATCTGGCATTTCTCCCCATGTTATCCCTCCCCAACTCCTCACCCCCTGCTGTCCCTCCTCTAGTAAAAACTACTTATTTATATCATCTTTTTCAATTTCTGATCATTTTATTCTCTTATTTATCAATCACACACCCTAAGGCTCCGTATAGAATTTCTTGCTATTTTGTTTTGAAGACATAAAATGGGCCAGGCCCAGTGACTCATGCCTGTGATCCCAACATTTTGGGAGGCCGAGGTAGGGGGAATCACTTGAGCTGAGGAGTTCAAGACCAGCCTGGGCAAAATGGCAAAACCCCATGTCTACAAAAAATACAAGAATTAAACAGGCATGGTGTTACACACCTGTGGTCCCAACTACTTCTCGGGATGAAGTGACAGGATTGCTTTTACCTGGGAGTTCGAGGTTGCAGTGAGCCAAAATTGTGCTACTGCACTCCAGCCTGGGAGACAGAGTGAGACCCTTTTTATTTTTGTGCGTGTGTGTGTGTGTTTTTTAACTAAGCATCTTCTGTTTTGTTGGTGCATTGTTGTATCCTTAAGGGTTATACAGTCACATTGTGTAAATGATACTTGATTGTAGGGAAAAATATATAAATGCTTTTTATTTAAAAAAAAAAAAAAAAAAAGGAAGATCTGGCTGGCTCACACCTGTAATCCCAACACTTTGGGAGGCTGAGGCGGGCAGACACCTGAGGTTTGGAGTTCGAGACCAGCCTGACCAACATGGTGAAATCCCATCTCTACTGAAAATACAAAATTAGCCAGGCTTAGTGGTACATACCTGTAATCCCAGCTTACTCGGGAGGCTGAGGCAGGAGAATGGCTTGAACCTGGGTGGCAGAGGTTATGGTGAGCTGAGATCATACCATTGTGCTCCAGCCTAGGCAACAAGAGCAAAACTCTGTCTCAAAAAAAAAAAAAAAAAAAAGGAGGGGGAAGTTTCTTATTTTTGTGTTTTTAACATAACTTCTTTCTTCACTTTTTCTTTTAGGTCTTTTTCCCATTTGCCTTTCAAGAATGTTAGTGAATTAGATAGATAGGAAGCTTGTTAAAGAGCTGCACAAAATATCAGGGACAAATTGTGGTTGTATATTGAGGCTCAAAAGGAAAAAAATCAGGGACATGATTCAAGTCTTTTTGACCTTTATTTAACTGATGTATTTAGTTTTTTTCTTGAACTTCCTCTTTGTGCAAGGCAGGAACTGTGTATGCTAAGTACAAGAGACATTATGTAAGCAAAATGTTAAATGGACAAGACATTATAGTTCTTGTCCTCTTAGAGCTGATCTCATGTAGGAAACAGATAAGTAACTAGAAAATTACAACCCAGTGTGATTGGTGCTGTGATAAGGAATGTGTGAAATACATTGGAGGAGCAGTTACCTTAGAAACTCTGTGAAGCCTTGAAAGAATGAAGGTGTATGTGGAGACCTGAAGGATAAAAATAATTTTGCTACAGGTGAAAGCTGGTAGCATGCATGGTTATTTCTGCCATAGGGAATGGCAAAGAAGAGTTTTTAGATAGGGAATTTGAGAGTGTTAGGGAAGATGAAACTAAAAAGTCCAAGGACTATGTCAGGAAGGTTCTTGAGCTATATTAAGGAATTTGTTGTCACTCTGGAGGCAGTGGAGAGCTGCTGAAGGGATTTTTAGGGAGTAAGTGATCATATTTAGATTTTAGAAAGATCACTCAGAAGACAGAGTAGAAAATGGATTGAAGAGGGACAAGCCCAGGGGTTAAGGAAACTAGTGAAAAAGGAATTAGGTTAAGGAAAAGATGATGGTCTGAATGAGAAGAGAGACCTGGAAGAGAATGAATAGAATTGACTGAGATGTTTAAGATTGACAAGAGTTGGATGTCAGATCTGAGGAGAAGGGTGAGAAAGGAGTCAAGCATGGACTCCAAATTTCAGACCTGAGCAGCTGTATTTATCAATTTTGGTTGCTTATTTTTTCACTTTGTTTCAGCCGCTTTGGTAACCTGATCGAAGTTTACCTTGTGTCAGGAAAAAATGTGGGCTACGCCAAGTATGCTGATAGAATAAGCGCAAATGATGCCATTGCCACTCTACATGGAAAGATTCTGAACGGGGTGAGACTTAAAGTTATGCTGGCAGATTCACCAAGAGAAGAATCTAACAAACGGCAAAGAACTTACTGATTCTTGAGGTAAGCCTTTTTTAATCTGAATTTTAAAACGTATTGAGTAAATAGTATAGCAAGAGGAATATGCATAAGTACTTTAATTATGAACTTTTCTTTTTAGTGGTTTAGAAGTTGTTAGTTAAAAGAGCTTTGCAGCTATTTAAACTTTAAAAATTGTTGACATTTACTAGAAGAATGTTTTTGCCCTATCAAGTAAAATTGGATTTCAGTTTAGAAAGATAGATCATTGTTTTTTGTTTGTGAAATCTTAGATTTTAAGAATTTGACTTTTTTACTATATGTGCTTACATAAACTTTTTAATTACCCAGTGCTAGAATATAGATTGCTTCAAAAAAAATTAAAATACTTCTAAAGATCTTTCACTTGAAGAATTTCTGTCTTGAGTTATGAATTGAGGTAATTTATAACAGTCTTTTATAAAGATTATGTTTTGACTTCTCTCTAATGAAATGTCTAAAAGGCAATAAATAATATATCATTTTTGGACCTTCTGAACCTAACTGTTGGTGTTTTCTGGACTTATATTTGTGAGTTTGTACATTAAAACAATACATTCAGAAAATATTCTTGTGTGCATATATGTGTTTTTTAAGCAAACCTGACAATTTACCAAGAACTCTTTATCTATTGTAAATTACGATATGTACAGCCATATGAATTTCATTTCCTATTTTATTTATTAGTTTTCAAAAATCAAACTATAATTTCTTTTACTGTGACAGTTAGTTTATATTTGTATGGTTTGGGGAAACATTCTTTAAAGTTTGGCTTTTTTTATTCTGTAAAATAATTCTAAATTTCAGGGGAAGCTGTTTTCCTGTTCCCACAAACCAGCTTTCCAAGTCTACTGTAGGTCAAATGTAGTAGATGGCAAGCACTTTGAATTTAGTTGAAGCTATTGGCTTGAAACCTTTATTTTTTTCACTTAAGATTTTCTTTCTGACCAATTATGTGAGCTGGCACATATGAAAATGAATCCTACCAGGCCTCACTTCTAATGATCCTTCCTTCCCTAGAACAGGTCACATGATTAGTCCCTCCTTCATTGAAGGCATTTGAGGCTGGGCGCAGTGGCTCACGCCTATAATCCCAGCCCTTTGGGAGGCCGAGGTGGGTGGATCACAAGGTCAAGAGATCGAGACCATCCTGGTCAACAAGGTGAAACCCCGTCTCTACTAAAAATACAAAAATTAGCTGGGCATGGTGGCGCGCGCCTATAGTCCCAGCTACTCGGGAGGCTGAGGCAGGAGAATTGCTTGAACCCAGGAGGTGGAGGTTGCGGTGAGCCGAGATCAAGCCATTGCACTCCAGCTTGGGTAACAAGAGCGAAACTTCGTCTCAAAAAAAAAAAAAAGAAGGCATTTGACAAGAGAAGGTGTCCATTGGGCACATTACATACATTACATATAATTCTAATTTTTAAATGTTTTTAAATGTTATATTAAGTGACAAAAAAACTGTCATTGTACTGTACATTGTTAGCAGTTTAACCCTGGAAATATTAAATTCCCAGTGAAAAAGAATTAGCAAGCATTTTTTCCTGTTGATGAATAAAATGTTAAGAATGAATTCTATTTGGACAAGCTATTCTATAGCATGCAAAAAAAAATGGGTTTATTCTAGTCTGTGAATATTTCAACAATAGGAAATAAAAAGTTCTTGTTTTTACTCTATAAAACTTTATCCTTAAAAAGGACAATAATATAGACTTCTCAGTATAGAATAGTATATAAATTACTCTTATGGTTGAACCTTTTCTAATGATTATTTACATGTTAAAGAGAATATTGGGCTTAAAATAAAAAGCCATTTAACTGTGACTGGGCTGGTGTCTATGCCTTTTTAAAAAACAAAACAACAACAACAAAAAAAACCGCATAATCTCTCTCTGTCACCCAGGCTGGAGTGCAATGGCCTGATCTGGGCTTACTGCTACTTCCACCTCCTGGGCTTAAGCACTCCTCCCACCTCAGCATCCCAAGTAGCTGGGACTACAGGCATGTGCCACCATGCCCGGCTAATTATTAATATTTTTTATTTTTGGTAGAGTCAGGGTTTTGTCATGTTGCCCAGGCTGGTCTTGAACTCCTGAGCTCAAGCCATCTGCCTTTCTCAGCCTCCCAAAGTGCTGGGATTACATGCGTGAACCACTGCACCTGACCCTCTTTGCCTTTTTGAGGCCCAGTTTGCTCTTAGGGCTATTGAGAGACGAGTCAACAAAATTCCTAGTAAAATGAAAAAAGGCTTTTCAAGTCTAAGCTAAAACTCTTACATTTGTAGCTTCAGTGAAACCTTTGAGATGTCCTTTTATCTAAAATAATGACATCCAAATGATCAGAAACTAAAAGTATAATGACATAAAACTACCTCATGGCCAGCTGGTACTGTGAGAACTAAGCTTTATAAAACCACATTTTTCCCTCAAACTCATCCAATTTCCTACATTAGAGGAACTGCATATTCAGCATGGCTGTTCATAAAACTTTTAATCTATCGTTTTTCCCTTTTTTGAACTGTTACACATATTCAGGGCAGAGATAAAGTAGGGTCAGGTTAACTGAAATAGTTATTTGGATAGGATACAATTAGCTACATGGTTTTGAATTTCTTCTAATTGCAGCATGGCTTTTTAAAAATTTTTTGCTGCGGATCTTCTATTTACAATGGACTCCATTATGAGATTCTTCTTTGTTGGTGTATTAAATAAATATATTATCTTATTTTAAGGTTCGATAAAATACTGTGGAAGACTTTCCCAAATTTTATATGGTTGTGACAAGTTTTTTTGGGTAGGTGCACTTTTTTATTTGTTTCATTAATTTTTAAGAGGCTACAAACACAACTCATGAAGGCTAGTTTATTTTGTCTCTGAGGTATGGGCCTGGTATTAAGTGAGTCATGACTAGGAAATAGAAGCAACTGATCTAAGGATATAACTTTGAAAGTAGTTGAGTTCTGTTTCGAGATGGGTCTGATAACCACAATGTAATTGTCTATTTGAGGAAAACAGAAATTTTAGTATTTCAGAGCATCAGATTTTTTATTAATTCACAACATTTTCCCTCTAGAAATTCAGTACCTGCATCACCCTTCTGAGTAAGTTTGGTTTTATTTGGGGGTGGCTCTGATTAAGCAGATGACATTGGATATATTGAAATAAAGGAACAATTCCTAAAATTTTAGGAATGCTACAACAGCTGTTTCCTTTCAGGTGATGATTTTCATACTTGTGTTGTGTTCTTTCTACAGAACAAAGACTAAATAATGACATAATCCTCAGCTGACTGACTGAAAATGTGACTGGACGCATTCCCTGTGGACAGTTGACAGCTTTTTTTTTCATATACCTGATAGTCTGTGTACAGCATTGTTTTGTCTGGGAAGCAGGGATTGCTGACATGTATTTTTGAATCCATACATTAATGCTAAAATGAATATAGTAGTTGTTCCTTAGAGCAATATGTTGTTACGTGTAGCAGAAATAAAGTTTTCTTTGCTTAACTAAATCATGACTTATTTATGTGAAAGACAAGAATAGAAAAATTTAACAGGCAGTCTTTAGAACTTGACTAAATGACATATTTCATTTATTTTGAGATGCACATCTTTCACATTTTAACACCTCTGGAAGTGGAAGCATCTCGATATGAATTGTATGGCTTAGTGTAATTGATAGCCTTTTTTTCTTCCTTAATAAAACAGGAAAAGGTGCTTTTTTCAATCAATTGCTTCTTAGAGTCAACAAAATATGGTAACTGCTACTCAATCTATACATCCAGGTTAACTGTTTACACTTAATCTAAGAAAAAAAGACAAATCATTAGAAATATTTTATACTGTATTTTTTTTTTAGTTATACCAAAATGCGTTGGTAATTTTGTAAAGCTCTTTTAAGATTATTAAGCAACAGTGTTACAAAAAATTAAAACTTGTTGATAATAAATTTAAATAAATCTCAGTGGCTTTGGGAGATGGGCATTTTTATCTTTATAGAAATAATGGCCACTCCAAAAATATGACATGTAAGGAATTTTCAAAACAGACTACAATAAGAGGTATAGTAATTTTGAAATTAAAGATTAAAAATTAGGGCTAGGGGTGGTGGCTCACCACACCTATAATCCTGTCACTTTAGGAGGCCGAGGCAGGAGGATTGCTTGAGCCCTAGAGTTCAAGAAGAGATCAGCCTAGGCAGCACAGGGGTCCCGCTCTCTAAAAAAATACAAAATTAAAGGCGTGGTGGCATGTGACTGTAGTCTCAGCTACTCAGAAGGCTGAGGTGGCAGGATTGCTTGAGCCTAGAAGACTGAGGCTACAGTGAGCCACAATAGTGGCTCCAGCCTGCTCGACACTTTGTCGTCCTGCTCCAGCCTGGACGACAAAGTGAGACCCTGTCCTAAAAATAAAAACTAAACTAAAGATTAAAAATTAGGAATCTATTCTGCTTGTAAAACTGTAATCAAAAAATGTTATTAGGTTTGTGGTTGAATTATATATATCAAAAAGATGTATCTAAATCAAGCACTTGGCACATTTTATAAAAAGGTATTGTAAATGCTAAACATTTGTTCAAACATAATTATCTCCTCATTATACCTCTCACCTCCAGACTCAAACTAATAATGATGAAAGATTAAATTCAGCAATCTTGGCCTGACACAGTGGCTCACACCTGTAATCATAGCACTTTGGGAGGCCAAGGCAAGGTGGATCATGAAGTCAGGAGATTGAGACCATCCTGGCCACCATGATGAAACCCCATCTCTACTTAAAATACAGAAATTAGCTGGGTGTTGGGGTTTGTGCCTATAATCCCAGCTACTTAGGAGGCTGAGGTGGGAGAATCACTTGAACCCAGGAGGTGGAGGCTGCAGTAAGCCCGGATTGCACCACTGCACTCCAGCCTGGGCAACAGCGAGACTCTTGTCTCAAAAAAATAAATAAATAAAATAAATTCAGCAGTCTTAATAGAGTATCTTATATGTGGACATCTCCATTGGAAAACTAAAATCCTTTCTTTTAAAAGTCAGTGATTGGCTGGGTGCTGTGGCTCACATGTGTAATCCCAGCACTTTGGGAAGCCTAGGTGGGCAGATCACGAGGTCAGGAGTTCGAGACCAACCTGGCCAACATAGTGAAACCCTTCTCTACTAAAAATACAAAAATTAGCAGGGCGTGGTGGCACATCCCTGTAATCCCAGCTACTTGGGAGGCAGGAGAATTGCTTGAAGTCGGGAAGCGGAGGTTGCAGTGAGCTGAGATTGCGCCATTGCAATTCAGCCTGGGTGACAGTCTTGTCTTTAAAAAAAGTCAGTGATTTTAGCAAATTTAGATAAAAAAATGTCATCTTATCTTCACAGGCAAAACTGCTGACAAGAATTGGACCAGCTATCTTTCAGTGAGCCAGAGGATGTATTTTAAAAACAAAGCAAAGCTGGGTACAGTGGCAAGTGCCTGTAGTCCCAGCTACTCAGGAGACTGAGGCGATAGGAGTACCTGAGCCCAGGAGTTCAAGGCTGCAGTGTGCTGTTATTGTACCTGTGAATAGCCACAGTCTTCTGTTTCTTTGTTTTTGATTTTTTTTTAAAAAAAAGAGCAATGAAAAACCTAAGTGAGGGGAGTTGTAGATTAATTGCCAAAAAATAGGTATAATTATACCCAAACTCATTTACTGTACATATGGTTCAGTTTTCACAGATTGGGATTAACTTGTTCCTTACAAGTCATTGGGCTCTGCCATGTAAGTAATACTTGAATTATCTCAAAAATGTTTCTGCCAGGTGGTTAAACAGTGTAAAAGTAACAGTTATAGGAAGGAGCTCTCTACCTCCTACCTGAGTCCATTGCATCTTTGGTTAATCTTCACAATTGAGGCAAAATCTGATTTCCTACAATTTTCCCCTATTAAAGCCCATTTCACTGGGCTTTCTAGGAGAAATTGAATCTGACACGTGTTAGCTATCATATACCTGGCCAGCCCTCCACATTCTCTGTTCAGATTAAATGATCCTGGTTTCTCCCTTCAAGTCAGGCAGCCAGTCCCAGCAGCTGTGGTAAGAGTAAGTTACCTTATCTAGGTGTATTTCTTTGAATCCTAATATAAATTCTGAAGAGATCATGTGATACCTCTCTACCTACAAAACACTTTGCGTTTTCAGTACAACCTGTTTTGTTTTCTTTCCCAGTTGCATGTCTCAGTAAACAATGCTTACTTCAGCGTCTGCGTGCATTTCATCTTAATCCTCTCAGTTATTTAGCTTTGGTCCTGTCTTCCTGTCTTTTGCAGTTGATCCCTAAAGCTGTATTTTAAAAGCTAGAATTTCAGATTTTTCTTAGAATGAGGAAACTCTAGAACCTAAAAATAGCATTTAGTAATTTAGTTGTTTATTTCTCACCTTAACGTTTACTTTTCAGGAGCACTTTGAGTATGAGAGCATAATATATAAATATTTAGATGCTCAGCGAATGTTAGTTATTAAAACTGCTAACAGTGTTTTATTAGTACATATTTATTTTTTTAAAATTTTAAATAATAATCAGTACAGCTCAATAAACCTCTCAAGTATGTAGTTAAAATAAGAAGTAACATTTAAAATAAGCCTGATCAAAGCCTTCTTGTAAATTCATCAAGTGAGGTCTTGTATGGTAGGTTACAGGTACTGAAAGCAACTGTCAAATTTGCTGCTTCTAAATCAACATGTTCCAAACTATGTTCCTTGGAATACTAGAAAGAATTTTTCATGGTTAAATACATTTAGAAAATGTTCAGTATTTTTAGTTCCACAGATTTCATCTACTATAGATAAAAAGGTGGGGGAAAATACTCAGGAAATCATTGGTCTAAAATTTTAGCTTTCTCTGAATTTTGTTCTCTCTCAATTCGGATCCTATTCAGTATGAATGAAGCCTTAGAGAGCACAAATAAGGGACTTTACCACTAGGTGGTGGTAAACACTGGTGATAAAGTGCAGCATTTCAATGTTCATTTAAGGCCCTGAGATGGAAATGAAATGATGGTGTTTGAAATGCCTAAAACTGCTTTTTTTGAGGAATTTTACTCATATTGCACAAGCTAGAGTGCAACGGTACGGTCTCTGCTCGCCGCAAACCCCTCCTCCCAGGTTTGAGCAATTCTCCTGCCTAAGCCTCCTGAGTAGCTAGGATTACAGGCATGTATCACCACACCAGATAATTTTATCTTTTTAGTAGAGACAGGGTTTCTCCATGTTGGTCAGGCTGGTCTGGATCTCCTGACCTCTGGTGATCCACCCACCTTGGCCTCCCAAATTTCTGGGATTACAGGCATGAGGCACTGCGCACAGCCAAAACTATGGTTCTTAAACTTTGGTGTCCACAGGAATCACCCTGTGTGTTTGTTTAAAATATAGGTATACTGATTCTGTAGGTTTGGAGTGAGTTTTTGAACAAGGTTTGGTTATGATGGGGTGGTCAGTGGCATTCACTTTGGAGTATACTGGCCTAAAGGAGGTTTCATATGTTGGACCTTAGGTTGAACTGTTGTAAAAGTAAGGCATTGAGAAGTTGTTTCTTAGTCTTTTTACCTTGAGCATTTTTTAGAATTATGCATCTGGTTTTTCCTCAGTTTAATATCAGTAAATATGAATTGCATTAAGAAATTGAAAAACACAGTCTCATAAATAACAAGTAATAGGCCAGCATTTTTATTGATGTTCGTAAGGGATGGTAATTGTTTATGCCATTCAAAGCTTTTATCTAATATTTTTTATTTACATTTATTTTTAAGTGAGTTGTGTAAAAAAATTACCAAAGATTGGGGCTCTGAAGAAGTACATATGATCATGTTATTTGTTTTAAATGTCAAAGGAGTATGAAGGAGATGTAATTATCATTTTCTAAAAAACTAAAATAGAATAATCAAAAGGGTACAGAAATACCTCTATATGTATGTGAGTGTTCTTACAGTCCTAAGGTGAATCTTCTTGTAAAATGATTGCTTTTTTGATTTATAGGTACATTTTAACTTTCAGTGACTTTAATAAATACTAAAACTAAAAATCAGTGAGGGCAAAAACAAGTGAAATCTATTGCCTTTTCATCTAGAGGTAAAGCCACACACAGGCTTTGTTCCATATGTGGATGGTAAGCGCTATTAAAAATCAGGGCAATTATTTTTACATATGATTTCAGTAAAGAAAAAACCAAAAAGGTCATCCTTATTAGATAAGAAGTTCCATTTTAATACCTGAATTCTAATAAATGGATTGCATTGTTTCTTTTTCTAGAAACAGTAGCTCAAGAGCACATGGATCCTGGGAACTGAAGGTATGGTATTGGTAGGAGATCAGACAGCAGTATTCAGTTAAAATAGCAAGGTATAGTTCATTCATTAATGGCCATGCTTTGACATTATTTAAGATAGAAAAGTTTTGTCCTTAGTAGAAAATGTAGCTCCTATTATACTTTGAGAAAGTTACCAGGCCCTGTGAAAATTTATTTGAGTGGTTATCGGAGAAAAAGGGAGGTC